ATGAGCACCGGTCCTCATTAGATCATTTCTGACTATATATATTTCCAAGATTGAATTTGATATTCGAATTATAGCAATTTTTGTATACACTATGATTATGCACAAAGTTTTATGTTAGCTGTCAAACTTGGGTCTTTACTCGGGCTAAAAAATGAGAGATTGGTTTTCTATAATTGAGGGTTACTATGTATACAGGCTGTTGAATTGGAGTCTGCTGGAGGAAAAAAATCGTCGCAAAAATCTGCTACCACTCGTAAGAGCCGCACAGCTGAAGTGCATAACTTGTCGGAGAGGGTAAGAATCGAGGATTTGGCCTGTAAAATAGTGTTTTTTCTCTCTATCAAGTCTTTCCATTATTTACACAGAGAAGGAGGGACAGGATCAATGAGAAGATGAGAGCATTACAGGAGCTTATACCTCACTCCAACAAGGTAAACATCATCCAGCCTTTCAAGCTCAATAACGAGAAGAAAACTTGGCATGAGAGGCATTTTTTGTTGATTTTAACTTTGTTTCCTTATTTGCAGTCAGATAAAGCATCCATGTTAGATGAGGCAATTGAATACATGAAGTCACTGCAATTGCAAGTTCAGGTATGAAAATAGTATCATATTTGGGTGGAGCGAAATCTCAATTGGATTATTAAACTTAGGTTTAGTTTCAAATTTCGTCATTCTATCAGATTACTTAGTTGACAACCAACTGATTTTCCACTTAATAGCTACATGGAACCCTAGAAGTGAAAATGGTAAAATGAAAATTACGATAATGTCTTAATTAAATTAAAATTCGATCGGTGACCCAATTTAATCTAAATTCTCAATTTAGACAAATGAAAGTTAAGTGAGAGAAGTTCATTGAACTTAACCGTAAATCATTTACTTATTCTTACAGTAAGATAAAGAGTTACAAAGACTAAAATTAAATAATGGAGAAGTATATATTTATGTTAACAGATGATGTGGATGGGAAGTGGAATGGCACCAATGATATTTCCAGGTGTGCAGCAATACATGTCAAGAATGGGAATGGGAATGGGGATTGTTCCTTCAATCCACAATGTCCCTATGCATTTACTGAGGATGCCAATGCAAGTTGATCAACAAATCAATATGCAAAATCAGGCTGCCATTCATCAAAACCCTGCGTTGAATCCAGTTCATTATCAAAGCCAAATGCAAAATTCAAAATTTCATGATCAATATGCCAATTACATGGCCTTCCATCAACTCCAAAATGCCTCCCAGGTATTTTCCTCTCCATATCCATTTCATTAATTATAAGTCATTTAATTGACATTAATTATTTCACTTATATAGTCACTTGTTGTTACTCTATTTGTTCATTACTAGATCTACTTGAAAATCTAAGCAACTAAATTCTGATCCAGCCCTTGTTTAATTTAGCTAAAAATCAGATTTTTGTAGATTTAGCCCTTATTTGGCCACCATTATAATGTGTTTTTTGGAATAATAATTTTTTGAAAAATTTGTGTTTAAAAAAGAAGAATTTTTTTTTTTTTACGTGTAATATTATTTTATTGGAGAATGTGTGGTTAAAAAGAAGATAAAAAAATGTATTATAATTTGGATGTTGTTATACGTACATCAGAGATTATATAATGGGTTACATAATATCACATGGCAATATACCATTTTTCAGTTTAAAATACAGTTAACTTTTTTATCAAATCTTTTTCCTTCACGTCATATTATCTAATCCCTTATGTACAATTTTGATGTCCCAAAATTCTTATAATTTTTATGGGGGCCAAACAATGGCTTAATAAAAGTAAATAAAATGTGATAAAAAAAATTGATACATAGAAGAAATGTAAAATTAAAATTAATTGTTGACTTTAACTTAGATTTTTATCAACATGTTTAGCTAAACAAAAAAAGGGGTGAGTTCCATCTAGCCGTATGTACCAAATATTAACTTAAATTCAGCTACAAATTTTATCCCACTCTTTTCGGCATGTTCTACTTAAATTGCATTACTCTTATCGTATGAAAAATGTCCTTTTTAAGTTTTTCATGTAGTGACCGGGGAAAAAAAATTAGGTTGGTATGTTCTTTTTCATCTTGGTGTAAGTTAGATTTCACCCCACTCCAAAGAGAAGAACAAAATCTAGACCTTTTGGATTTGTTTGAGACTCATCTTTTGAAAAAATACATTTTATAATAGTTATTTTTGAAAATATATGATTAAAATGTAGAAAAAAAAATTTTTTAAATTACGTATAAAATTATTTTATTGAAAAAATATGCAACGAGACTCAAAACTTGTCTCATTATATGCTACCTCTTTGCAGCCTATGAACATGTTCAACTTTGGGTCCCACACCCACACATCCCAGCAGAATCACATGCAACCACCACCTGCCAATGGCAATGGGTCGACCGGACAGTTATAAGTGATGGAGCTAGAATTTTCACGTAGGACGACTCTAATGCTCCTAGTTGGTGGTATCGTATGAAATTTAAGCAGAAAAGAGGATATATCTCCAATATTTCAGAGCTCTAGATGAAATTCTCATTTTTAAGCAATGTGGGGCTTTAAATGTTATTAATGCAAAATATAGTTGAGAACTTTTAATGTTATAAACAAAACTTAAATGTTTATCGTACTGACATTAATTTTTTGATGTGATATGTCGTGGGAAAATTTGATTTTTTTGAATATGAATAGAACAAGAAGTAATCATTAATTCTTCTTAACAAGCCAAATGCTCAAAACTCGTATTCAAATTCACTTCAAGTTATAGCTTGTTTCAGAAGTGTTCATAAACCATTTTGTTAATAAATAAATAGAAATGCGTGGTAGATAAATGTAGTATTTGTGGATCCTATAAAACATGTGGATAAAATTAATTTATCCCTTATTTTTACTGTTTATTAATACTTGTCGAATATATGCTTAGATTAACAAACAGAACCATATTTAAAGGTTTGGGTAATTAGCACTAACGTCCCCACCTTTCAGTGTTATTGTGAAAAATCCATACCTTTCATTTTTTGGCATCTCCACCCTTATTTTTACATTTAATTGCGCAAAATGTCTTTTTCACCTCTTTTCTCAATTAAAAATTATGAAATGACAAATATACCCTTCCTTTTAAATAAAACAAAAAGAAAAAGAAATTAATTAATTACAATCAGAGTCCCAATTTTTTTGAAAAAAAAGCGAAAATAAATCACAAATAAATTATTAAAAGGGTAATTAGTAGATAATGTCCCTATCTTTCACCATTATTGCGAAAGAATATCCATACCTTTCATTTTTTTTGACATTTTCACCCTTAATTACACATTTGATTGTACAAACAATCATTTTCATATATTTTCATCCAATTTTTCAATAAAAAAACTATGAAATAATGAATATACCCTCTTAGTTAAATAATATATAGGGAAAAGTTTATGGGTCAGGTGTTTACTATTCCAAAATTAAAAATCAGGCCCAACAGTTTAAAATTACAAAAATCAGGTTTTTCTTAAGTTAATTAATTACATTTCATAATTATTATATTAAATTAAATATTTAACTGTAATATAATAAAATCACCGCACCGCACCCCACCTCACCCCACCTACACCACCACCATTGCTCCGGCTATTACTCCGGCGACCGGTGACTGCTCCGATCCGGCGGCTTTTTCGAGGTCACAGATCAAGAAATTTATAGGTCACGGGTAATTTCGAGGTCACAGATAAAAAAATTTGTAGATC